CCCACCTCAGGCCAATGCAAGGACTTTGCAGTACAAGGATCAGATGCGGAGTGCCTGGCCAGACTGTTAACTGAAAGGGATCACTTTGGCCAAAGTGAGGAAAGGTGAAGCCAGTGGGACTTGCGACAAAGAGGAATCAAGGACAACTCCAAGGTCTTTGGCTTGAGCAACTGAATGGTGCAGTTGGCCACGTTCTGTGATGGGGTAGACACTCTCTCTGCCTTAGTTTCTACATCTGCAAAATGGAGATAATAGTAATTGTCCCCTGCAGTTGTAGTGAAGTGGGAATAAAACATGGGAATTGAACTGCACAGCCCAGTGGCTGTCACATGGGTAATGATCACGAAATAGTGATTATTGTCACATGAGCTCTTTCTGGATCTATCATGCATCTATATGTAGCCTAAAAGTGTTTTTTGTGGTAACTCATTCCCCATGCCCAGCTCATACTAGACAACAATGAAAGTTGGATGATAAGATACTCTCAGATTTATTTTCCTTTAAAATTATTGTACTGATTGCGTATGAAAGATTCATTGTTGTTTCTGAATTTTGATGGATCCAGGGGTACTAAAATTCTAATCGTGGCTCCACTTCCATGCCTCAGGGGCCCCTGAGCATTTCAATCCCTGACTATAGGGAACAGGGCAGACAAGACCTCAGGTGAAGGAGGTCTCTGAGCTTGACCTTGAAAGACAAGTAGAATTTTAGAAGGGGACATAGGGAAAGCAGGTGGCACTGGTGTGGGTAAGTACATGGTGATTGGCAGTGAAGGCCCATTTAAGAGGCTTACATTCTGTATTCTGTATCAGTTTCCAACTGAGGATCCATCAATGATCTCTCAACAGGGAAGAACCCAGGCAGGGAGTTTCTCCAGGTGGCAGAGAAAGCAGGTATGAGCCCACTAAAGGTGAGAATAGGTAGGGAGCTTGGTTAGACTAGTGGTCCCCTCATACTGCCTATTCATCACAATCATCCTAAGAAGAACTTTTTTTTAAGTATGGTTTTCTAAGCCCCATCCCAGACTTACTGTATCAGAATATCCTAGAGGTGGGGTTAAAAGACTGTGATTTTATCAAGTTCCCATAGTAATTTTTCTGGAGCCATGATACCATTAAATTATTATGACAATGACGATGAGCCATGGTGGGAGCCCAAGAGACAGAAGGGTCTCACTTAGAGAACCATTTGTGGAAGATACTGGACAGGACTTGATCATCTTAGACGGTGATGGTGAGGGAGGTGCTCAAGAGAAAACAGTTGCTTCAATTCTTAACTCCTACCTCTAGAAGTTTTCCAGTGTGAAAACAGTGGAAATATTTCAACACAATGAAGTAAAAGAACCAAGGAGGAAGCCTTCAAAGAGCGACTGAAAAATAGGTACTATTTCTAAAGCAGCTTTTTGACCTTGGCATTCTTGACATTTGGGGCCAAATAATTCTTTGTTGTAGGGGACTGTCCTGTGCTTTATAGGATATTTAGCAGCATCCCTGGCATCTACCCACAAGATGCCAGTAGCCCCTCCAATGTATGAGGATGAGAAGTGACATCAGACATTGCCAAATGTCCACTTGAGAGGAAAACTGCCCCCGGTTGAGAATATTGCTCCAAAGACATAGCTTTTCACCCTTAGTAGAGGTTTTAAAAATAAGAACATTGAAAAAAATCTAACATTTCTTGAGATTCAATGTGATTTGCTTCTATTCACAAACAACAAAAGAGCCCTGGCAAATGCTTGGCTTTGGTGCTAAAAAGGCATCATAGGAGTGTCAGTGGTAGAAGCCTTAACATTGGAAATTCCAAATAGGGAAGAACTATTTAGAAGAGAGAATGCAGCATAAACCTAGACTTAATTTAAGAAAAGGAAATTTGAGGCAGGATGACAGAGGGAGTTATATTTTCCCACAAGAAGTAGTAGCTGCATCCTCTCTAGAGACAGAAACTACGTAGGCAGAATAAACTCAAAGCCAATTTTATATACCTGGGAAAGATGACTGATTAGGGAATTGTCCCTTCTCATTTTCATACCTTCATCCAAGGCTATTAATATCTCAAATTGATTCTTTTCAGATTTGCACTTAAATGGAAAATAAAATTCTGACACAGGTGGCTTACTGCAGACCATCCTACTATTGCAGCCAGTCTGTGTGTGGATGCTATTGTACATGAACTGTTTAAAGAAAATGGAAACTATTTTGTTATATAGTTAATACCTCCTCTAGGGACACAATTGCTCCCACCATCTCACCGTGTGGTGTAAGGTCAGTACCGATTTTATGAAAAAGATACAGCTTCTGGGGGCACCACGTTTGCCATAGAAGCCAGTCACAGCTCTCCAAATGAATTTACACTATGTGCATAAGATCCATAAAAGACATAAAATGTTTTATGCAGTTTAAGTCAGTGTGACTTGGATTAATAAAGGAAACAAAGTTTTATGACTTCAAGATTATTCTCAAGTGACATATCACTAAAAAAAAAAAAAAAAAAAGCAGCCCAAGTATCATGATGGCTTGGGGAACTGTATTATCTTTCTACAACTTTTTGAAGCGCTAAATGAAATGTCACTACCGCTGAGGATTTAGCTAGAGCAAACTTGTATTCCCAGCACACAGAGCCGAAATGCCCCTAAAGGTTCGCTTCCTGCAAATGCCTTTTCTAACTGCACATAAATAGAGAGCTGCTCTACCAAGAGACCTACTTAGACACATTCTTTTCCAGAATACAGTTGGCTTCTGCTCATAGTCTTATTTTATATCTATATATAAAAATCAATACAAATGTAATCTTCCAAAATGTTACTCCTTAGTCTACAAGAAATACAATAAAGGAAAATTTTTATCACTGATGGATGTAAGACCCTAACTCATAGGTGACTCTAAGAGTTTGGGGAAAAATGGCTGAAAGGGGCCAAGGAAAGGAGAGTGGAATTATCTTAAGGTGGGGTTTGCTTAGCAAACACAATGGGTCTGCACAGGCTGGAAGTTTCTTAGGAGTGGCTTTGAAGAAGAGCTGATAAATGACTCCATGGACTTCCACTGCCCTGGATAGAAAAGCATGTCCAGTCATTAGCCTGGTCATCTCAATATCACTACGAATGACAAGTTGGTAAATAACTGTAATTAATGTAATTAAAATCATGAAAATGGTCATGATTTTAACTAGACAATAACAAACTAATCAGCCAACAAGCATTCCATTGACAATTTGGGGTATGATAATATCAGCTAAAGTTTTAATTTAAAATTTATTATAAAATCACATTTTAGAATTTGTTTTAGATTGAATATTATATTAATAGAATTATATTTAAACATATATTTGATAAAATCTTGTTTGTTGTAATATCTCATGTTCATGCTTAGGAGAACTGGCCTGCTTTTGACCTCAGTGGGTTGAAGATGAATGAGAACTCTAAGTATTTAGTAATTCAAAATATTCATAAAGGGGAAAATGTAAGGGAGGCAAGAAGTCATTTACTCTCTATCATTTCCTAAGAGGTCAAATCTCAATAACAACCAGAACCAAAGAGTACATCCAACTCTCATCTCAATTATATTGATCATATCAATTTCATTCAAGAAATAGGGCCAGGTGCAATGGCTCACACCTGGAATCCCAGTACTTTGGGAGGCCAAGGTAGGAGCATCACCTGAGGCCAGGAATTCAAGACCAGCCTGGGCAACATAGCATGACCCCATCTCTACAAAAAATAAAAAAAATTAGCCAGACATTGTGGCACACAGCTATAGTCCCAGCTTCCTGAGAGGAACGCTTGAGCCTTGGGAGTCTGAGGCTGCGGCGAGCTATAATCTCACCACTGCACTCCAGCCTGGGTGACAGAGCAAGACCTTATCTCTAAAAAAAAAAAAAAAAAAATTATATACATAGTCACCAAGGCATTCAGCTGGCTCTGAGACTAGCAGGGTAAGCCAAAACGGGCCCTGACCCAGGGCCTGATTTCATAGCTCTGACACCAGGAAGAAAGCTCTAGGTATTAAGCAAGTAAGTATAGCAATCTGTGTAAAGTGTAACCATAATAAATGCTCGGAAATACAGAGGATATGAATTCAATCTGGGAAGGATTTCCTGAAGAAATAATGATTAACTAGAAAAGAAGGGAGGGAAACACATTCCATGAAGAGGGAACAGTCACTGCAAACACACCACAGTAAGAGGACTAACAGAAGTCAGGATGTTTGGGGCAGAAAGAATGAAAGGGAGGTGGCTTGCCAGGTCATTTGTTAAAGACGATACAGGCAGAGGTCCACAGTGGACCAAGCAGCCAGGGGAAGCCATTGAAAGATTTCAGGGTGGACTAGCTTAGAAAATGTGCATTTTACAAAGAGTACTGTATTCAATGTATGGAGACCAGACTGGAAGGTAGCAATTGAGTAGTCCGGATGAGATGGCAGATTAGACAGAAGCTGTAAGTACATGCTGCAAAGCCATGGCAAGACTGGGTAGTAAAAATCCTCAGGACAAGGTAATAAGGAAGAAGTTAGGTTTGTGGCTGAAGAACCAGGTAGACAATGGCACTCTTCAAAGGCAGGGAGAACTAGAAAGAAGCCCGTTTGGGAAGAAAACCGTTGACTTCCAAGACTTGCATAAGAGTCTTCAACCATTAAATCTCCTTCAAGGCAGTAGGTATTTCTACTTCAGCAAATCATCTGTATGTGAATTCTTGCCATGGTGTTTTGATCCACTGGCCTGTCAACTCTGAAACTTTTACATGCAATCGGGCTCATGAAGAAGCTAAAATGAATTTAGTGGCCCTGCTTAAAATAACAAGTTCACCCAGCAAATCGCTGCTTTATAAAATCTGACAAAAAAGATCAGGCTGGGAAATGGGCTTGTCTGAAAGGCCAAAGCCATCGGGTGGCACTGCCCATGCAGGTTTGTCAACATAATGTTCTGTGGATGGCAACATAAAATCTGGGGCAGAGGGGGACCCATAGTTAATAAGTTGTAAATTATAGTCGTGTTTTGTCCATACTTGCCTTTGTAGTTTTGACTTTATTGCCACTGCTACAGGACCAACCTGAGTAATCTGGCAACACTTTACAATCCTCTCCTTCCAAACAAGGATTCATGTGACACCACCACTTCTGAATCACGATGGAAGCTGGAAAACAAAGGCCAAATGGTATTTGTGACACTGTTTCTTCCTCCAAATATGGAAAAAATAAAGCTCAATACAGATCAGCACATTGACTTCAAAGATCACTAAAAAGAACTATTGCACCACAAGTAAATTTAAGGAGTCCAATCAGCCATATACTCTACAAAATAAAGTATTTCATTTTTGCAGTTGGCTATCTGAGTTGGCTAGCTAGAGAGAGCTCGGGCTTTGAGGTAGGTCTGTTTGGGTTTGACTCTCTGTGCTACTTTCTAGATTTTTTAATGACTTCAGACTAGTTACCTACCTTCTCTTAAGCCTCAGTTTCTTGATTTGGAAAATAGAAATAAAAATAGATCCTTCCCCCCCACCATAGGATGTGAAGAGGATAAAGCTAGTCTGTGTGAAAGTCTTTGCTGACTTTGAACCAGTCACGATGTTCACAGAAAATGTTAGCTATTATTGTGATCGCCGTACTATGGTGGGTGTTGACGCCGCCATGTTTG